TAGATACAGAATACAGTAGATACATGACCGATAGTGAAAGCGATATTGAAAGTAATGCTGATATTCAAGACTTAAATTATGCCAAGAATCAGTTAATAAAGTACTCTGAATTGGCAGTCAAAGGTGATCCTGGGGAGCTATCTGCAATTCGTGATTGAAAATTGGAAACATTGGATGATAAATATTTTTTTGAATTTCATGCATTGATAGAAAAGTTGAATCTGAAAAGATTTCAGAAAGAAAAGATCATCAGATGGATCAATGAAAACTACAATGATACTCATCATAACCAGAGTAAGCCTTTTAATGCGTATTCACTACATCATTACATGATAACTAATTCTTCTGTAAATTAGACGTGGCAGAAAAATTAAAGTCCACTTTTTTAAATAAAAAACAAATGAGTGAAACCGTACAGCTGAAAGAAGAGGTTCACGACATGTGTGTGAATGGGTGCCAAATGTTCATCGCCGAGGATCAAGAAATGTGTTCGCACTGTGAGGAACCCAGGTTTCAACTAAACGACAAGGGCGTGTTAGAAGCTCGTCAAAACCAAAAGCTTCTGGACATTGACGATTTCATTGCTTCATACTTTGTCTCTGATAAAAGTATGAGATCATTGTTGAACAGATCAGAGAAGGTCCAAACAAGCGACGATATTGTAATGGAAGACCTTTTTGACGGCAAAAAGTACCACGAGCTTTTAAGAAAAAATTGCTTCCAAAACCAGTATGACAACGCCCTGGCGTTGTATATAGATGGATTTGTTCGTGGCCAAAGAGGAAAACAGAGTCTCACCATTGTCAAAGCTGTGAACATGAACTTAAGTCTCGATGAAAGGTATTTTAAACATTAAAATAATTCCATCAAAAATACTAATTGTCATTGTCTGTTACAGAGCAAAAAAAAGAAAATCGATTTGTTGTCTGCATCATCAACGGACCCAAAAACCAAAAGACATCTATAGCTTCTTATATCCTTTATTAATGAAGTTAATTGAAATGGAGTCTGCTGGTGTGATTATCAAGGCTCACGACAACCAAAAACATCACATCAAGGTGTATACTTGTCTGTTTCTCGGCGATATCCCTGCCATGGCGGATACTTTGTTTGACACTGGCCATACAAGCAAATATGTGATATCATGGGCAGTAGTAATGATGGTAAAGGGATGTACTTTAGTCATACAATTTTGGACAATGCAGTAATTAGAAGCAATGAAAGTTTTAAGTCAGTAGACGAGCGGGTATCTGGGGTAAATGCGACGACAATACTAGTATTCGGCCACTATGACTAATATTTAATTTTATTTGATAACATCAGTTTGAAAACAAAGGGCTCACGAAGGCTAATCTTTTGACCGAATTTACCTCGTTTTCGGCAACATTCGCTGGCCTTAACGAGCTTCATTTGATTGGGCATAACGTATCTAAGCAAAGTTGGAAATTTATTTCTGATGAAGATAGAAAATATGGTAACAATAACCCATTTCTGTTGGCAAAATGTCATAGAAAAACGCTTCGAATAGCCATGGGAAATGTAGGTACAACTTGCAGAACGAACATTTTTGAAGGGGCATTTTTAAGTATGTAATTGAATTACGCGAGTAAAACAAAAATCGCTAAAGCGAATATTGGTCACATAGATTTGAACACTCGTTGTGGGTATGGACGTGCAGTTGCCTGGCAAATGTTTATCTGGTTTCTGGTTCCTACCATTGTTTGTGATATGATAAATATGCAGGCTAATAGTAATAAGAGGTATCTGAATACTCCTGGTAGTAGCTTGCGCAGAAATCAATCGTTGATTGGTGACAGTTATGAGAAACATAATTTGGAGATTGAAAATCGATGCAGAGATACTGTTAGTGCTCTTAAAAATTTGTCCAGGCTTGTGCAATTGCTTTGCAATATAAAATCAGTCAAACAGATATCAGCGAACTCAAAAGGTTAGTTACAATTAGATTACAGTGCATCTATTTTATAATGAACAATTTTTGGCTCCGATTTTTTAAAAAAAAGAAAAACGCTATCTCCTCGATGAATTTAACATGTATCAAAAATCTGGCTCTATTATCTTCTTTATTAGAGAGTTCTTCATAAACTAATAGAGCCCGATTTTTTTCTTTTCACACAAAATTTTTTACAGATGGCGAAACAAAATTTGCCATTTACAGTGGCGAGACCCAAAGATGTCCGGGAGGTGCTTTACAGTGCAAAAATTCATAAAAATCTATCAGATATATCCCGGTTAAACGTTTTCCCGGTATAAATTAGATTCCTCTGTCAGAAAATATGAAAATCACCAGTGTAAAAAACGGACCTTTTAGTTCTGAAAATGTCCGTTTTAACGAAAATTGTTCATTATAAAATAGATGCACTGTAAGGTCTAAAAATACTTAAACCAAATTTTTTTAATATTTGACGGTATTCAGTAAGCTGCAGACATGGATGGATTTTGTCGGAAACACAGACAATATCACACCAAACGCGGTAACAATTAGCCAGCATTATCTATCACATATATCATATGTGATTGAGGAGCTTGGTCCTATGCGCTCGTTCAGTTGTCGACCTTTGGAACGCATGATTGGTATAGTTAAGCAGAAGATAGGGTCATTCTCCAAACCAACGGAGAATGCATACCAAATCATTCGTACTTTGGCAGAGCAATCTTTTTTGTCCAGAAAAACACCGGCTTGCTCCAAAACATCGCTTACTGGAATCATTATAGGGAAAGCTAACTCAGAGCATCGGCGTATTGGTGAATTCAGGCACCTTGGAGCCAACTTCCTTGAACAAGTTGAACTACAAGTTCAATGCGAGGAAATTCGAGTTGTTCAAAGTATCACAATGACGGGAAGAGGGTGCAAGCAGTTTTGTGCATCAACAGTAAAAAAAAATTCCAGCATGTTCCTCGCACGCTTACCCATTAACGTGCGATCGGACTTAAATGTTCCAAAATTTTAGACATTTTTTCAAGAGCTTCAGACAACTCAAAATTAAAGATATCAACTTCGACCTCCCCATTTATTGTTACGTAGATGTTTATGAACAAAAAATGGGGAGGTCGAAGTTGATATCTTTAATTTTGAGTCTTAAATTTTTTGGCTGGGACTTGGCTGTAGGGGGAAAATATTGAAAGAATATGGTCTATGTGTGTTAATAATTTAACTACCGATCCCAGTTGGTGTAACATACAACAACGAATATTATAGCACCTACAGTTACTAAGTTTCTAGTACTTTTTGTCAAATTCTTATGAATTTTCGGCTTTAGTCATAACAATCGAATTAATTTCGAAAAGATATTCAAAGACGTTCAGAAGGCTTAAAAATAAATATATTTGATAACGGAAAGAAGGTCAATAATATTTATGTTTTTAGGAACGATATTTGGGGAATTGGATTACTACTTTCCTTTTCAATTTGGTTGCAAATGCATTGTTACTTTCTCGGTATTTATAAGAGAGGCGTAGTCTTAATTTTTTCCATGGGTAAACAAAACCAGGCCTGAATGTCAGTCTTGAATGACCTTCAGAAGCTCGAAAAATTATCGGATCAAAAAACCCAAAGTAGATACATACTAATAAAACATACATTAATATTATTTGGGGTTCTTCAAACATTTTTAGTATACGTTGTTCGTAAAAAAGTGACATTCTTGTTATCCGTCTATTTTAAACTGAAAATCAATCATCATTGGACAAATTATGAGACGTCTATGGTTATCAATCATTGCAGAGCCTTCAGAAGCTCCAAAAATAAAGATTTAAAAAAAAAAACTTTTGAAATGTTTTTAAAACATATAATAACATTATTTGGGGATACTTCAAGTAGCTTTTTATGTCATATACGAACATTTTGATCATGATGTAAAACAGGGTTTTTATATTATTTATACTGCGACTCGGCAAAACTCGCGTTTAACTTTCTTGACCAAAAAAAACCTTTTTTATTTTATTGTACTACATACTACATCAAAATGCCTGCACCTAGTAAAAGAACTTTAGCAAATCGCAATAGATTAAAAGATACAACTGGTAAAATTATGGCTATTGAACAAACAGTTGAAACTGTTGAAGAAGATTGGATTGTCTGGGAAGAGAATACCAACGACCTTCTCAACCATACGGAGCGTATTGTCACACCAAAAACATCAATGAAGCACTTTTCGATGATGGATCGTCTTCCAAAAGACCTAGAAATGGTCATTACAATAAGACTTCAGCAGTAACCATTTGGAGAAAAAAAAAGCCAGCAAAGAATGTCGAACCTGCTAATACTATTTTGAATTTTGCTGTCACTATTTCTTACGACTCTCGCGCTGAAGAAAAAGAAGAGTACGTGGCTCATACCAAGAAAGAGCTTGAAAAAAATAGAGTTTTGTTCAAGGATATGCCAATTATTGCTAAACCAGTAAGAGGACTAATCGGCTAAGGTTTATACCCATCTGAATATATAGATTCAATTGGATCAGTCTATGTTCTTGAAATCCATTATCTCAGGACGATTTACTTAAAAACTTACTATAAATAAAAGAAAAAAAGATGACGTTTAGTAATTGAGGTGGGAGTTCAAGTTGCTAATGAGTAAATCAAAAATTTCTATCCTATATCCTATTCCTACCAAACGGTTTCAACGTCGGTTGGAACGTATGTCTGAGGGTGTGACATGCAACGAAACGGTTGTAAGTTTAGTTATAACGATGGCGCTGTAGGGCCCATTTATGGGAAACATGACGACTGCCAAGAATATAGGGGGTGTTATTCGCAAGTCGGAAGACTTCAGGGAGGAGGCCCTGCAATATAATTAATTAAACATACTCGTGTATCTCTTTAATAATTTCTTGGTACACTTTCATATGCTTAGTAAACATCGTATCCTGCGCTATAAACTTTTCCCTCTTTTCTTCTGCTGAAGCACCTGTTGTTAATGCTTCCAGTTTTTCTATCTGAGAATAATATAAGTTACTTATGACATCGATAAGTCTATAACCTACCTAACTAACAAAGCTGCATTTCATGTACTTATACTCCTCATTAAACATCTCGTAATAGAGATCAAAGAAACGTTTATATTCAACATCTTGCATATCCTCCAACATATCCAAAGCTTTTACCATCTCCACCAAAGTATGTATGGCAAGGGAATGATCTTGCTGTTTGATATACATGTATGCTTTGACCATGTTTTCATTGCTGGTATTAATCAACTTAACATACTTTATAGACAACTCTGAATCTAAACGAATACTAGCAAGGTTTTCCTTCAAATTATTTTCCTTAGTTACACACATATTAGCTTTGCCAAACAGGAGAGATATTCTGTCCGTACAATTCTCACATATTTGATCGCCCTGCGAGGTCTCCCCACAGGCAGTGCTAACCCTAACATTGGATTCGGAAAATCCTGAATTAGGGAATTGACTCACATCAACCTGAGAATGTTCATTATCCTGAGAATTAACAATTTCAACATTATTCTCCACTTGTTCTCCCTTTGATTCATTTTTTATATTTTCAGGTGTTATTGCAACAACCTCTGGTTTTGTTTTGATTTTTTCTTTTGATGCTTTTTTTTTGATTTTCAGATGGTTTTCTTTTGATGTTGAATTTTTTTGTTTTTCTGAGAATGTCAATTCGTACATATCATCAATGGTATCACCCAGGAACTCCTTCATGACCGCACCTTTCTTATTGAGTAATTCCTGTAATTTTGTTAAGTCAATTACAACTTTGGTTTTGTTAAATGTATATTGGTTCATTTTATGGGGAAAGGGTTTATAAATTATATATAAATTCAATTTTTCAGATTAAAATAAAAAAGTTATTATCTTGAGATATTAATTTTAAATATAATTAAAATTCAATTTTTAATTAAAAGTATGCAAGATTTTAAACCCAGACAAATTTATGTCATAAATTTATGAGATAGATTAATATGTGGGAATCAAATGGTACAACTATGATGGCTGATTTTAAAAAGATCTTTATGATACCAACTAGTCTTCTAATGAACAAATCGTTCGATGGTAGTAACGTGGAATCATACAATCATATCCGCTATGTGTCTATACAGCAATACTTTCAAAACCGATTGGAAGGTTTGAAAAAACACGAGGCAGCTAAGAAATCAGCAAATTCTCTTTGGCCCAATTGCTCCAAATTTTACAGACATAAAGCAATTATCAAGTGGGCAAATGTATACCTTGAAAATCAATTCTTGTCCAACCATAGTCAAGGTGTTCATGGTAAACGTGTCTCTTTCTTAGCTGATAACGACGTTAAGACCAAGTTTTTGGATATGATCAAGAAGACTACTGCCAATTACAGAACAGTAGATAATATTAAAACATTTATCGACGAGAACGTTATTCCTGCCACTCTCGGTGTTACTGGAAGCGTTGGTAAAACTACGGTGGCCAGATATCTTTACGAATGAGGCTAATTTTACCGTAAAAACAAAAAGGCTATTTTTTTCAATGGTCACGAGAGACCTGATGTCGTCGAATATGGACAAGCTTGGACTAAACGCTTGTTAAAATACATGGAGCGCTCTGAAGTTTACCAAGGTGACAGTCAAGAAGAGGTGTTGGAACCTGTTTTGAATGATGGTGAAAAGAAGATTGTTTTTGTAACCCACGATGAAAGCACTTTTTATGCAAACGATGGAAAAAGCGACTTCTGGCTTACTAGCGACGAAAACTACATTCGTAAAAAAGGGCCTGGATCTTCCATCATGATCTGTGAGTTCCAGTGCCCTTGTCATGGAACGATGAAGAGTGGCGCTTGGACCTCAAGAAGGTACTTTAAGGCCGGTGTTGATAGAGAAGGTTGGTGGACCTATAAACACATGGTTGAGCAGCTCAAAGATGACGCAATTGAGCTTTTTGAGCGGCTCCATCCCAATTGCGTTGGTGTATTTTTGTTTGACAACAGCTCAAACCATTCCGCATTTGCTGAGGATGCTCTGGTTGCCTCAAGAATGACATTGAAGGAGAAGATATGGCCAGTAACTGAAAAATTTCAGTTTCGTCCTACGACAGTTACATTGACTAGCGGAGAGGTTTTAAAGCAGGACTTTGTTTTGAGAAGGTGAGTACCCTTGAAGACAGAAAGGGGAGAACAATTACTCGTAAAGAAAGGTACTTTAAAGGTAAATAATTGATTATGTTATAAAGCTAGGAGATAATTTATTTATTTTTTAATCAGGTATTTGCAATATTTTTGCTGAAAGAAAGCAATGGTTCGGTGCTGATTTAGAGGGGAAAAATTGGAAGGTGGATTGCAAGACTCCTTTCCCGGGCAGAAAATCTATGTGCTGTGCTAGGCATTTTTTAGGCAGTCGTCCAGATTTTCTTGCTCAAAAAACGGCGCTTCAAGAAACAGTGGAGAAGGCGGGTCACATCTTTGAACTCTACCCCAAGTACCATTGTGAATGTAATTGGATTGAGATGTATTGGGGTGGAGCTAAAAGAGAGGCTCGTCTTCATTGTGATTACACATTCAAATCACTTGAGGCCAAAATTCCCGGGTTTTTGGACAAGGCTGGAGATGTCGCCAAAATCAAACGGTATTTTCAGCGATGCATGAAATATATTGACGCATACAGCAAGTGTGACGACGGTAGAGAGGTGGCTGGTGATGTTTACAAATTTGTAACCAAAAGTTACCTTTCACATCGAAAGGTAACTTTTGATGAAAACATTTAATAAACTTTTCTTTTTTCCTTTATCTTTGACTGAGTTTAAATGGCTTCTATTTTCAAGGATCTTGGCATGTACAAGCTTACCTTCAGACATTTCAAAAAAAAAAGGCACCATGTCACGATTTCGAAAATAAAAATATTGAAATGAAATTCAGGTTCGGAACATTTAAGTCCGATTGCACGTTATGTCCTTCCAGGCAGTGTTTGTAACACAATATCCAGATTTTGCTGTCGCGACAATAACTTTTAAAAAAAGCTGATCATTATTCTTTTCCTTCTTTCAAACCGAAATGTCTTCTGTTAATCATGACTTTGTTCAATCTGATGGAATCAGTCAACCAAATCGAGGAAGAGTCAGAAGCATTGCAACCGAATCAACTACCCGAAGACCGAGACAACGAGCAAGTCGTATAAATATTCCCAGACTTAACAACAGTAACCGAGGATCGAATGAGGAATCTAATACACGTGCAGATGAAAACACCAATAATGCTGATTCACCTAATTCAGGATCTGCCACTCCAAGTAAAATTAAATGTAAAAGCAGCTATGATAGTTTAACCCTGACATGTTTTTTGTTTTTAGTCAGAGATCATAACCTTAATCGTGCGTGTCATGACAATTTTGAAGAGACCAATTTACTCCGTGAGCGTAGAGGAATCTACCGTGAAGACGCAACTTTTGACTTTTTTGGTCGTCATATATTACAAGGGATGACACAAAAATTCCCTCACTGTCACGCCATGCTATACAAAGAAGAACAATCAACAAATCAATCTTTTTCTTTTTGCTGCAGTAATGGAAAAGTAAAAGTGGATATTGTGGATATGCTTACTACACTTATGCGGAAGCTGTTAACAGGTGGTCATCCTTGGTGTACCTAATTCAGAAAGAATATCCGAATGTATAATAACGCGTTCGCGCTCACCTCATTTGGAGCAGACCATGAAGATGAGATATTCCGTGGATCGAATCAAGGATCGCTCACATTTAGAATTTAGGGAGGAACTAACCATCGATCTGCATCATTAACAGCTACTGAAGGAAGAAAACCTGTCTTTGCACAGGTTTATTTTAGTGATCCTAATCTACGTATACAACAGCATATAGATTTAACGAAGTGTTGGACCGTCAATTAGTATCCCAGTTGAATCAAATGATGAATGAAGTATCTCTGTATTCAAATTTGTTTGTTAGCGCAAGAAAGAGACTTTCTACAGAAATAGTGGATGGGACGCCTGTTGTTAAAGACCTTTATGTTTATGTGCGAGGTAACCCAGGACTGGGTCTACAGTATGTTTTACCAATGGCGGATGAAGTTGCAGCATATATTGCAGATGCAACGATTCCTGATGAAAGTACCCGAGGCAGTAGAGAAGTGGTTATCTTTTCGACAGAAAATGGATTTCCTAAGAAAATGAATGATTGGCATCGCTCTTACGACTCCTTACATTTTGCATTAATGTTTCCAAGTGGCGAGGATGGATGGAATACAGAGATAGAATTGAACTTGGGTGATGAGGCTATTCGACAAAATCTAGAGAGAGATGAACAAAGTTTACGTTCTAACAGGCTGACGCAAATAAAAGTATCGTTGAATCTGTTTTATCAACATCGCTTACAAGTGAGACCGGGGGAAACAATGAACTGTCATTTTGGCCGTCTTTTTCATTTGTATATAGTCAATATGTATTGTAAGATAGAGGAACGACGATTGTATTATTTACGTACAAATTAAAGTACGCTACGTTCAGAGCTTTATTCTGGATTAGCCGATATGCAAGTTGGTGGAGATATGAGTAGAGAATCGATCGGTAAAAAGGTCATATTGGCTTCCAGTCATACTGGCTCACCAAGGGCCTTGCACCAAATGCAACAAGATGCTATGGCTGTCGTTAGAGCTTTGAGGAAACCTGATTTATTTGTTACGATAACCTGCAACCCAATCTGGAAAGAAATTACGGATGAGTTACTACCTGGTGATGTCCCTTCGGATCGCCCAGATTTAATTTGTCGAGTTTTCGACTTGAAACTTAAAGAGATATTTGCAGATATGAAAAACAAAATGATATTTGGAAAAGTTAAGGGCTTAATTCATGTCATCGAGTAACAAAAACGTGGTTTACCTCACGCTCACGTTGTTATTATTCTGGCTGAGTGTTCTAAGCTTCGAACAGCTCAAGATATCGATAAGTATATCTCGGCTGAAATCCCGGATCCCGCCCTTTTTCCTAAGGCTTATAAAACTATCACAAAGCACATGATGCATACACCATGCAGTATATCTTTAAATGATTCACATGGCAAGGTTCGCATGTGTAGAGATAATAAAGAAAAAATGTGCCGTAAGCACTTTCCTAAACTCATCAAACCCCACACTGTGATCGATGAAAAGGGTTTTGCAAAGTACAAAAGACGCACCACCAATCTCTTTGTTTTGTTTCAAAATGGATATCATGCTGATAATCGTTGGGTTGTTCCTCACAATCTGTATCTTGCTGTCAAGTATAATACTCATATAAATGTCGAATATTGTGCAGGCAATCAAGCAATCAAATATCTTTTTTAATTTATTTATAAAGGCCCTGATCGCGCACAAATCGCAGTAATGCCTGCTCAAACACCGCCTGTCACTTCCACAACTGAACTACCAGATGCTATTTCTGTTAATGATGATGATGATTTGGACGAAATATCAAATTGGTTAAGTGTTCGATATGTATCTACGGTTGAAGCATGTTGGCGTATCATGGGAAAACGCACCCATTCATGTCAACCAGCTATCAAAAGATTAGCTGTACCTTTACAAAATCAGCAAAATGTGACCTTCAGTGGGGGTGTTAACAATAGTGAAATTCAGCGAGCAATGGATAGAGATACCACTGTGACAGCCTATTTTAAACTCAATGCAACTGATGCTGATGCTCGGTCTGTATTTTACAACGATATTCCGGCCCACTATATCCAAGATCCCAAACCACATTTATGGAAAAAACGTCAAAATAATCCAAACTTTACGCAAAGCGGAAGAATGTATTTTATATCAGCTACTGACAT